AATATTGATTGAAAAGTGGTGGCAAAAAAACGCTTAGAGTTGAGTTTGGCAGACGTTTTCAATTTCTAGTGGCACTTGTAATCAAGTTTTCGCTTTAAACTTTAATTGTCCGAATCTTCCAGGAAAAGAAAGCTCGTGCCACTTGAAAACTTTGTTTCAGAACAATAGTTGTTCTAGTAGTAGTAGTAGGGTTTCTTTTTAATGAAAAATTTTTAACTTTCTTTGTATTTTCATTCTTCTCACCAGATCATCATGACGTACTCAGACCATGTCGAGTGTCTTCACCTCAATGACATTCGTCTTGAAGAGGGCAGTGACGACCTAGATCTGGACATCTCCTCTCCCTCGACTGCGGCCACGGCCACTGACCTCCAGGGCTCCACGTCGAACAATCGAACGGCTCACAGTTCCGATGAACTACTCAGCAATGGACACGTGGGAGGAGCCGGTGGCGGAGGTGGTGGACACCACTCTGAGGAGACCACTGTCACCTCGGCCGTCAGTGCATTCGCCACCGAACAGTTGGCCGTCTTTGGTGGACTGATGCGCAAGCTGAGCACTCGAAAGCCTGCCAAGCAAAAGCAGACGGCTGATGCTAAGGCAATGGTCAACGGGGACAGCAGCAACCTCAACTCGCCCACTGCGGCCATCAGCCAGCAGGCAGTGAAGTACACTGGTGGTGGCACCAAGTCTAGTCACCAACAGCATCAGCAGCAACAGAACCAGTCGGCATCAACGGCCAACCTGCATCACCACCAGAACAACCACAGTGGCAATCGAAGNTCGGCATCAACGGCCAACCTGCATCACCACCAGAACAATCACAGTGGCAATCGAAGAGTCCAGGAAACAGCTGATCTAGATCGATCACTGAAGGTGACCCGCTCATCGCCCTCTCCCTCACCGGCAAAGAGTGGCAGTTCACAGATAACGAACGGCGCCAACAGCAAACACAGAGGCTCAAAGGGAGCCGTCGATCTGGCGATGGGCCTGCACCACAAGGGCTATCCGCCCAATCTTTCCTATCCCAACATCACCGCTACGACTGCCAATGCCTACCAGGTACGAGTTTACACCTTTAGTGTTGACTACTTTCAGTATTCAATTGACCACCATTCCCCCCCCCTACAGAGCCCT